TCAACATTTTAATGTATAGGAGAATGAGTAACATAGCGACGCATACCTTTTTTAATGCAACGATTAAATCGGCTAGAAACTCTTTACCTTTTAAGGGTATATTAAATTTGTAATCAAATTGTTATAGTTTAACATAATCCATAGCATAATCCATACAAAATTAACAGATCAAACTGACCTAAGACGTGAATTATTTGCTAATTATTTGTTTCCAACCGTTTGGCAACTCTTTTTATGGCGACAAAAATTTGTCACTATGGCAAGCCAACCAATTCTTTTCATCTGTTGTTAAAGATTATATTCGTTTGACCTAAGTAATCTTATAAAATAACACGTCTTGGATTGCCATGTTGACAATTTTAGTGTTAATCCATTGACGTATGGCACGATGATCTGATGTAAATCATTGAACATTATTGTTGTCAGATGATATTTACTAAGTCAAATGTCAATTACTATTTGATACTTACGTAATATTAATAGAAATGTTCATACTTTGTAGACAAATAGATGTACCAAATATTTGAAGCTTTGGCAACGTGGCACAAAAGTTCTCATTGTTTACCAACGTGACACTAAAATTATCATAGTTAACATCTACGAAGAAGTGTTTTTGAAATGTATTCAACTGTCGCAGGCATAACCACAAATTGTTAACAATTCAATTCGTTTACGTATCAACATAATTTAATTAATTTTAAAAACTTTTAATTATCATCTATTTTAATGAGGAAAAGCTAAAATATTCTACTTGCTTTGCACTAACAATTTAGTCATAATTAAAATACTCTGTTCAGTGGCAGAACAAGAACAAGAGTTTGTCACTATGGCAAGCGGTTCCATGACAAATGATCTCAGGACACATGATCTCAGACAAAATATCTCAGACAAAATATCTCACGGACAAATGATCTCAGGACAAATGATCTCAGGACAAATGATCTCAAGGACGAATGATCTCAGACAAAATATCTCAGACAAAATATCTCACAGCAAAATTTTAATAGTATGTACTATGATTTTAGTTGATTTGAACTTTTTAAAATTGACTGTCAATATGGTTTTGTTTACTTTTTTACGCATAATAATTGGAATAAAATCAATTTGTTAAAGTTAACAAAGCATCAAAAGATTATTAAACTTAATCTTTGTAATAGCAATTGATTTGAAAAAGTAAAACTTAAAAGAAAATTAATCCTTTAACATAAAAGGTATAATAAATTATTATGCATAAAACAAATAAAGTAACCGTAGCTATACAACATGAATGTTTAAAACACGCAGAATTTTTTCAAAAATGTGAATGGGTCTTCGGGTTTGTATCCTAAAACTATTGTTTTTATTGCCTCATCAACACAATCATAACGCTTACCTTTCTATGCCGGCAGGTAGGCCTACATAGTTATGATCACACCTCTACAATACTATGTGATCATGTATTGTATAAACTCTTGCTCGACATGTTCTAACTTCACATTTCCAAATCTCTTTGACTTCTGCCCCAGTTCTGGCTTTTAAACACAGAAATTCACTAGAAAATAATTTCCTATAACCTTTCTGTGATGTAACGAAAGAGGCTATAGCTGGGCATGCACACTACGACAAACTTTGCTCCTCGATGACCGCTGTAGTTTAAATAAGCATTGGTCATCTGATCAGTTAGGAGTGACCGGCGCATAACTATTGACTTATGATGCTAGTTGTATTGTCCATGGAAGGCGGATGTCTTTCCCTTAAGGTATGTCTTTGCCATCAAAGCGGGCGGCCACCTTGATACGAAGGTGTGTCTTTATTTGATCTAGTTTCGTCTACCGGACATGGTAAGATTGTCTTATGTTTGGCAAGCTCACCAACGCTGTCTATCGAAAAAATTCTTTAATCTTCGCATACTATATTAATAATCTTAATTTTAAAATATTTAGTGGAATATGACAAATTTATGCAGCAAACATTTCTTACAATTATTATATAGGCCTATAAACAATATTAAATAAAGTAATCAAAACCGTATGACAGTCAATAAAAAATGTTCAGATCAACTAAAATCATCCTACACACTATTAAAATTTTGCTGTCAGATATTTTGTCTGAGATATTTTGTCTGAGATCATTTGTCCATAATATCATTTGTCCTGATATATTTTGTCCTTGGATCTTTTGTCCTGAGATCATTTGTCCGTGAGATATTTTGTCTGAGATATTTTGTCTGAGATCATTTGTCCATAATATCATTTGTCCTGAGATATTTTGTCTGAGATCATTTGTCCTGAGATAATTTTTCCTGTCACCTGGCAAGCCAACCAGTTCTATTCATCTGTTGCTCGCTTTTTATTCCTTACTAGACTACCCGTTATTGTTGAATAACCATGTGTTTCAAGTGTCATCCATAACTGAAAGGAAATCCTACCAAGATTGTTGTTTACATGGATTTAAAAAAAAACGTGTGTTTTTTTTTAAATTAAATTTTGAAATCAAAGCGACTGTAAAAATAATAAAAATTATAAAAACTTTAAAGTAAAAATAATTTAGATATTTAATTATTTTTTGTATAAATGTTATAAAAGTTGCAAATCCAGATATCTTTAAAATATTTTTTTTTTAGTTTAAGGCTACATTTCTATTCATTTTCATCAAGTCAAAGTTATAAACTGAAGTTTCACTTTCGTAAGAGAAATATTGATTGACTCTACTAGAACTACGTTTTCGATATTCTAAAAACCACAGTTCATAAAAAAAATCTGATTGTAATTTGTCTTCAAAACTTTGCCGATACAATTTTTAAAGTCAGCCATCTTTTTTTTTTTCGACGTCTGTAAACAATCAAAGTGTTTTTAGCTTTTTTAAACTAAATTTCCTGATTACCAAAAATAATAAAAACATTAATTACACCCAAACTTAAAAATAAAAAGTCCAACACAACTCAAATTATCCAAATTTTTGTAACCATATTTATTTTAATAACGTAGTATATGATTTGTTCAATATTTATTGGGCCTTTTGAATATTTCGAGGCTATTCTCTGTTGTGTAAATTTCCGACCAGTTTATTAACTGCGAGAGGTTCTTATAACCAATTGTTTCGACCATTGGATTAGGATTTAATATAGTCTCCACAGACATTCAGAGGCGTAGCTAGCGGAGGGTGGGTGCGACGTCCGTCTCGGGCGCCGACCCAAATGACACAAACGGGGTGAAAAGTTTTAAAAGCCGATTCTGAGCTGCATTACTAAACTATATGAAGTTAATATAATAGATCTCTGCTTTGCATTCCTAACTGATTTAACTGTTTTGTACATCAATTTTGTGACGTAATACAAAAAAACTGCATTAAGGACAGAGACTTGTAAAAAGTGCTCCAAAACTTTCCAAAATGGGAAGACGTAGCTTTTTGCTAACATAAATAACAAAAAATAAAATGGTCGGAAGGGGGCGCAAGTTTGATGCTTCATCCTGGGCGCTAGCCAGGGTCGCTAAGCCACTGTAGAGAACAACGATTTATCTACAATGCTATTATTAAAACTGAAATAAAATTGCAATTTCTCAGCACGGTTTTCTGCTTTATATTGATCACATAAAAAAAAACAACGAATAATGGCTGTATTATTTTTAGGGACTGAAAAAGTAATACTTTTAACCTCACATGCTGCAAAAGTTAATCCTGTAAGTAAATGCTAAAATGTTATTTTAAAAATCAAAATAAAACAAAAGACTGAAGTAAAATTCTGCAATAATATATGACACACCTAACAGCTTTCTATAAATATTTAGAACAATTGTTCCTACCTATGAACTTAAAAAGGGTCCTTGTATCTGATGTTAAGTGACGGTGTGGTCGAGTTGTACACCACTTGACTGCTAGCTCGTAGTTCAGATCTAGATCCCTCGAGACAACAGGACTTTCCTGAGCCCACACAGCACAAATGAGTACCTGCCTCACGATATGAACCATTCATATGTAGAGGTCAAGAAACATATGTAGGCCTACTCTACTTCATCTGTGTACCATTGTGTCCGAAATAACTTGTATCTCACATAAATTTGGCCCGCTTGAGAATCTGGACCTGACATCGGTTATGTAACCCGTTATTCAAGTTAACTTAATCCTAACTGTTGATTATGCAGGTCCAGTAAATATCTTTGTGAGGTTACGAAAAATAACAATTGAAATTGGAAATAAAAGTCCACCCATCACTAATGGGCACTGACTCACTTTATTGAAACTAAAGATACTGGACAGGGAATGACCACACTATCTCTTCATATGAAGAGGGCAAAAACATGGACTCTACTTCATCTGCGAAACGTTAAGTTCGAAATTGGAATTTTCCTTTTATTATTATCTCACCAACATGGTTCTTAAATGAGACATTAATATCATTCCTGGCATAACTGTTTTTTTAGAAAATATATTTGTTTTTCACCGAAAAACAGATTTTTCGCATCAAAATACATCATAAGATTGAGGTATACGAAGTTAAATGAAAAATGCCCCCAGAAGAACTATTATTCGCCATTTTAAATCTGCATACTTAACCTAGGAAATCAGGTCATACTTTAAAATAAGTGTTTTTTTCTTTTTTGAGATTTTATATATATATATATATATATATATATATACATATATTTCCACACATTTTCAATTTAACACTTACAAAAAAAAAACACATTTTTGTGCATTATTGATTTTATTTTTATAATTATTTGTATATAATTTATTTGTAGTTTTGAAATCTAAATGATTCTTTTAAATAATATTCAAAAATTAATCTTTGGTGTACAACATTTGTTTTTAAGTTAGCAATCCCCACAGTGAGCAATGGTTATCTTCTGCTCTGGTGGAAGGTCACAGTTGGCGGTGTCAAATTCGCAATCGTTGGCGTACGTTTTCCCATCACTGCCGCAGATAGGCCTTAACAACTCGTAGCAGGCGTTTATGGGGCAAGGTTGCTCTGTGACACCGGGGTAACATTCCTTGTGGCAGGGGCCCTCACTTTGTACTGTCACTTCTGGATTGTCGCAGTTGGCGTTTCTCAACTCACATGCGTTGGGGTAGGTCTTACCGTCCGAGCCGCACACGGGGGCCCAGATACGTGGGCAACCCGTAGGGCAGGGCTCAGACTCGGCCAGAACCGTGCCCATACCTGTTGGTAACGATGTGTATATATATATATATATATATATATATATATATATATATATATATATATATATATATATATAGGTCCTATATATATATATATATGGACTATATATATATGTATATATATATATATATATATATATATATATATATATATATATATATATATATATAAATATATAAATATATAAATATATATATATATATATATATATATATATATATATATATATATATATATATATATATAAATATATATATATATGTTTATATATCATATTTATAGATTTATATACACATAAATAAAGTCGCTTCTGTGAGTGCGTGCGTGTGAGAGTGTTGTTAATTTATCTAGTCATCGTATTTCATTACGTTTAAATGATTCATTAAAAGATGTAAATGCCACCAAATCTAATGTTTTAAACTAACGCCTTAAAATGTGCTTTTATACGTAACATTTTAATTTTAAGAAGCGACTTATTGCACATCTATGGAACATAAATAAAATCAAAACGAACCTAGCGTAAGTAAACCAATGAATTTATGAAATAATAAAACGGTGTTAAAAATAATCAAACCAAATGCTGTAATACAATACTTACAAACAAGTCCGACAAAAACAGCAATCACAATCATTTTGAAGTCAAGATTTCAAAATCCTACTTTAAAAAAATCTGCAACAAACAAAACACGATAGAATAGTCAATTTAAGCTGGATTATCAAACTTTTAATTAGTTTAATGTTTAAAAATAAAATTAGATCTATATTTTAGTAAAATAAAATTTTTCATAATGGATGCAAAATTCACGTAATAGTTTTTTTAACAAAAAAGATGTAAATTAAAAAAAAAATATTGCCTTAAATTTACACTGTAAACGTGAATTATACCTCACTGAATACTGATCTGAATTAAAGTATAAGTTGGAAATTGTTTATATACACCCAGAACGCAATTAAAATGTGTACTTCAATACATTGTTTACTATTTGGTTTGTCATTAATTGGATAGATATTTACCATAATTAAGCATCAGGTTGGGAGCATGTTAATTAGCTAATTAGTTTAATGCGATCTGTTGCTTTGTTTTGTGATGGTTCAGCTGATAGGGGTGTACTGTTTTGGTTAAGGGGACGGCGTGGTCGAATTGTAGAGCTGACGACTGCTAACTATAGAGTCTCGAGTTCAAATCCCGAGTTTCGAATCAATAAGACATCCTGTTCTGTTCTGATTGGGGTCTGACTCAAGTTAAGGAAACCTACTCGGCATGTTATAGTACTGACGACACCGTCTCTTCATGTAAGTGTATCCAGTCACCATCACAGCTTATACGTCGTACTTTAAAAAGATGAACTCTACTACAACTGCCCCTTGTGTATCAGACTCTAACAGTAATGAGGATGTATTCGGCTGGTGGGATTGTAGTTTGGACGCTAGTTAAAAGAATGATGTGGATGATTATGTGGGAGTTAGCTGTTTGTGGGTGTGGATGGTAGTGTTGGGCTAGCCTCTACTACGAGGTTTAATAATATACTCATTTTGAAATATTTTCACAGCCATCATGATCATGATATTTTATAGCAGTGTTTGTGTTGCGATTTTGTTTAAAACAATGTTCTTTGCACTTTATCTTAATATTTCGTCTCAACGGTGAAACAATTAAAACAAAATATAAAACATTTTTGTACACTAACTGTGTGTGTGTGTTTTGATTATTTTATCTAAGTGGTTAATTTACAGCTCAACTCTCAAGGTCAACTGCACTTAAAACAAGCTGTTTGTTTGCACTTTGTTTCAAGATTTGATGACTAAACATACTTTTGGCTTGGTAGGCACATTTTTAAACTGGGTAAATTAATTAGGAAAATAAATGTGTGCAGCCAAAGCATATATATATATATATATATATATATATATATATATATATATATATATATATATATATATATATATATATATATTTATATATATATATGTTTATATATATATATATATATATATATATATATATATATATATATATATATATATATATATATATATATATATATATATGCCAACAGTGGCGGCACTATTTTGTTATTTCGGTCTGCTTTCACCCCTCTCCCTTCTTTTAAAAATAAGGAAACTTTTTTTGACAGCAAATTTCATGATTTATTTTTTTAGCGTCCCCCTTCCTCCTAAATTGCTGACAACAGATCCGGATCTCATCCTACAACCCCACCTTGTTATGAAAAAATCACCCTAGATTAACATTGCTGTTTTCATTGGCCATATTTGATTTAACTCTCAATGTATTTGGCTGCCTGTCATGTGGAAGACGCAGAGTTTGTGGTGACAGATGGTAGCTTGAATTTATTCAATTGTTGAGCAAACACTTTTTTTAAGGTTCAACATTCATTTTTTAACTCTAGCAAAACATCTTGTTTACCATCACACAGTAAACGTTCATAATTGAAGCACCAGCAAGTTGATGATTCCATTAATTCCTACGAATTGACTATACATTTTTTCAATGGACTTGACGGACTTCAGGAAACACCTTCCATCGTTATTTTTTACAAGGATTTTAAATAAACCGGGAGTGATCTCCACTAAACTTTCTCGAATATTCTTATATAAAACAACATGGGATGGGGACTCGGGATATAGTTATGATTTTTAATCCATTTTAAATACTTAAACTTTTTAAAATAGAATAGAATCTCACAGAAAAAAGAATTGCGCACAAAGCGAACGCCGAATAAAGATGTGTATAATAGTGTGGAATATTATTAGTACTTTATAAATTCACACGCGTTTTTTGAGAAATCGGAAATAGTGAAAATAGTAAAAAACGTGTTGTTTTTACTTTCTCGTATATACGAAGTATATAGAAAGTATTGTAATCGTCCAAAAAAAAAATCGAGATTTTTACAAATCTCGACGTTTTACACCTCACTGATACTGAAAAACATAATTTTGCAATCTTGTCCGTATGTCTGTGTGTCTGTCTGTGTGTGTGTGTGTGTGTGTGTGTAAACACGATTACTTGAGTACCGTTACAGCTAGGTTGATGAAACTTCATATATAAGTATTTTATCAAAATCGTTGATCCGTATCAACTTTTAAGCGATTTCCGATAACCGGAAGTGGTACTTTTCCTACTTTGAATTTTTCAAAAGCCTATAACTTGAGTACTATTTCAGACAAATAAATGCAATTTCACATGTAAGTAAAAGATCTATGTCTCTACCTTCTGTCAAATTTTGAGTAATTTCCGTTGACCGGAAGTAGTAATTTACTCTATTTCCGATTTCTCAAAAAACTAATGTTAATTTATAAAGTACTAATAATATTGCGCACTATTATGCACTTTTTTATTTGGCGTTCACTTGGTGTGCATTTTTTTTGTCTACGAGATTTTATTCTACTTTTAAAACTTTAAGTATTTAAAATGGATTAAAAATCATGTCTATAGCCCGAGTTCCCATCCCCTGTTATTTTATATAAGATTATTCGAGAAAGTTTTGGGGAGATCACTCCCGGTTTTTTTTTTCAATTAAATTTTGAAATCAAAGCGACGGTAAAAATAATTTAAAATATAAAATCTTTAGAGTGAAAATAAATTAGAAACTTAATTAATTATTTTATAAATTTTATAAAAGTTGCAAATCCAGAGATCTTTAAATTATTTTTTTTTTTAAGTTTAAGGCTACATTTCTATTTATTTTCATCAAGTCAAAGTTATAAACTGAAGTTTCACTTTCGTAAAACAAACATTGATTGACTCTAGTGGAACTAACGTGTTCGATATTCTGAAAACCACACTTCATAAAAAAACTCATAGTTATTTGTCGTCAAAACTTTGTCGATACAATTTTAGAGTCAGCCGTATTTGTTTTCGATGTCTGTGGTAAATGTAAACAATTAAATTGTCTGCAGCTTTTTGAAAAAAAAATAATTTCCTGGATAACAAAAATAATAAAAAAACATCAATTACACCCAAACTTAAAAGTAAAAAGTCCAACACAAATCAAACCATCCAAATTTTTGTAACCATATGTATTTTAAAAACATCGTACATGATTTGTTCAATATTTATTGGTTCTTTCAAATATTTCGAGACTATTCTCTGTTGTCTCCATTTCCGACCAGTTTATAATAGTTTCTTATAACCAATTATTTCGACCATTTGATTAGGCTTTAATATTGTCTAAACAGAAAATCAGAGACGTAGCTAGGGGAGGGCTGGTGCGACGGCCGTCTTGGGCGCCGACCCAATGGGCGTAAACAGGGTGAAAAGTTTTAAAATCCGATTCTGAGCTGCATTACTAAATTATTTAAAGTTAAGATAATAGACTACTGCTTAGCATTCCTAACTGATTTAACTTTTTTGTACATCAATTTTGTGATATAATTTTAAAAAAAAACTGATCTACGGACAGAGACTTGTAAAATGCATTCCAAAACTTTCCAAAATGGGGAAGAAGTAGCTTTTTGCTAACATAAATAAAATAGTTGGAATGAGGCGCAAGTTTGATGCTTATCCCCGGGCACCGGCCTGGGTCGCTAAGCCACTGTAGGCAACTACGACTTATCTACAAGTGGTATGAAAAAACTGAAATAAAATTGCAATTTCCCAACACGGTTTTCTTCTTAATATTAATTAAATAACAACAAATCAATAATGGCAGGATTACTTTTAAGGGCTGAATAGGTAATACTTTTTAATCTCAATAGCTAAAAAAAATTAAACCTGTATGTAAATGCTAAAAACGTTATTTTAAAAATTAAATAAAACGCAAGACTGCAATATTGTATGACACACCAAACAGCTTTCTATAATTGTTTAGAACAAATTGTTCGTACAAATGGACATCGAAAGGGTCCTTTTATCTCAAGTTATGTGACGTTGTGGTCGAGTGGTATACCGCTTGACTGCTAGCTCGAAGTTCGGATCTCGGTCTATCTTCGAGACAACAGGACTTTCCTGAGCAAACACAGCACTAATAAGTACCTGCCTCACTCTAGGAAACAAGGGCTGCTGGGCATAGACCACACCATCCATTCATATGTAGAGGTCAAGAAACATATGCACTCTACTTCATCTGTGTACCGTTGTGTTCGAAATAAGAATTGTTTATTTTATCTCACATAAATTTGGCCCGCTTGAGAATCTGAACCTGACATCGGTTATGTAACCCGTGATTTAGGTTAACTTAATCCTGTTGATTATGCAGGTCCAGTAAATATCCTTGTGAGTTTACGGAAAATAAGAATTGAAATTGGAAAAAGAAGTCCACGTTATTGAAACTAATCTGCTGGGCAGGGCCCTTCATATGAAGAGGTCAAGAACATATGGACTCTATTTTACCTGTGGAACGTTAATTTCGAAATTGGAACTTTCCTGTTTTCTTATCTTTAATTAGACTTTATTTCAATCACGGTGAAACTGTCATTTTTAGAAAATATATCTGTTTTTGACCGAAAAACAAATTTTTCACATCAAAATACATCATAGTGTTGAGGTAAACGTCGTTAAATTAAAAAAGGTCAAAAAATATCGCGATTCTTTTTTTAAAAATTATAACCTGCAGATGAAACTTTTATTCGCCATTTTAAATCTTCATAATTTACTTGGGAAGTCAACTGATACTTTAAAATAAGTGTGGTATTTCAGCGATATTATTCATATACATTTTCAACCATTTTCAATTTCACACAAAACACATTTTTATGCATTATTGATTTTATTTTTATAATTGTTTTGTATTTTAAATTTCTAAAAACCATCATGCTACTCAAATTTAATTTGGAAAGAGAAAAAAAAATCTAAATGTAAACAATTTATGTAAATGGTGAGCATACAATGCCAAACGATTTAGTTTTTAAATCTAAATTATTCTTTTAAATAATATTCAATAATTATTCTTTGATGTACAACATTTGTTTAAAAGTTAGCAATCCCCACAGTGAGCAATGGTTATCTTCTGCTCTGGTGGAAGGTCACAGTTGGCGGTGTCAAATTCGCAATCGTTGGCGTACGATTTCCCATCACTGCCGCAGACGGGGTTTAACAACTTGTAGCAGCCGTGTATGGGGCAAGGTCGCTCAGTGTGACCGCGGTAACATTCTTTGTGGCAGGGGCCCTCACTCTCAACTGTCACTTCTGGATTGTCGCAGTTGGCGTTTCTCAGATCACACGCGTTGGCGTAGGTCTTGCCGTCCGAGCCGCACACGGGGGCCAAGATGAATGTGCAACCCGTAGGGCAGGGCTCCGACTCGGCCAGAGCAGTGCCTACATATTTTGGTAATAATGCGAATGTATGTATAAATACATTATTGGTATAAATTTAAATATATATATATATATATATATATATATATATATATATATATATGTGTGTGTAAATAGGCACCCCGTCAAAAGAGCGCACGACAAAAGAGCGCCGACATAAGAGCGCAGACAAAAGAGCGCCGACATAAGAGCGCCGACATAAGAGCGCACTAATTTCCCGACAAAAGAGCGCCGACATAAGAGCGCAAACTAAAAATCGAAAAACCATATTTAATAAATAAAAAAAAAGGAAAATTGACTCAGATCAGAAGGCATCGTTTGATGTTAACTCTTTATTGTTTCATTAAAAAAACTAATTGTTCAGTTTCTTTAACTAAAAAACTGGTACAATCAACGTGAAGTCCAATTAAGCAATTATTCAAAACTCAATCTAATGACATATACAAAGATTTTAAATGTTAGGCCTAAAGTGAGAATATAAACTGAAATGAAATGTAACAAAAGAAAAATAAGTTCAATCAGCATTTGCTCTGTCCTGTCTATATCTGTAGCCTTCAACCAATATAATAACCTTCACTTTCTGTGATTCGATCTTCTCCATGTTACTTGGGTTAGAAATATTTTCAAACTGCATTCATAACATGTTAACCATAATATATAAATAAAGACGTTGTTCTCTCGCCGATTGTTTAATTAAAACAAGTGTTAACCATGTCCTATTCGTTTTGCGTACAACATGTGTTTTTTTAATTGACTGCGCTCTTACGTCGGCGCTCTTTTGTCTGCGCTCTTTTGTCGGCGCTCTTATGTCGGCGCTCTTTTGTCTGCGCTCTTATGTCGGCGCTCTTTTGTCGTGCGCTCTTTATATATATATATATATATATATATAAAATATCGGCGTGGCTGTGAGTGTGTTGTTTATCTCGTCATCATATTTTATGTTATTATGTTAAAACGATTCATTAAATTATCTAAATGCCACCAAAATTTATGATTTTTACACGGTATATTTTAAATTTAAGAAGCGACTTAGACTGTTTAATTAATATTATTGCACAGCTATGTAAAATTAACAAAACCGAATCGCAACTACCCTAAGTAAACCAATGTAATTACGAAGTAATAAACCTATGTAAAAAAATAAACCAGTTGATGTAATACAATACTTACAAACAAGTCCGACAAAAACAGCAATCACAATCATTTTGATGTCAAGATTTCAAGATTTCAAAATTCTACTTTGAACAATCTGTAACAAACATTAACAGATACGATAGTCAATTTATACTTGATTATTTAAAATTTAATTTATCTAATGTTTGAAAAAATGAAATTAGATTTATATTGAGGAAGACAATACGATCTTTTATAAGAAAAGCAAAATTCATGTAATAGTTTTTTAACGAACAACTGTAAATTTAAAAAAAATAATAGTTGCTACAATGTAAAACCATACCTCACTGAATATTGAGCTGAAGTAGAGAACTGAAGTTGGAAGCTGTTTATATACACCCAGGACAAATACATTTGTTTACTTGAATATACTGTTTACACTTTGGTTTGTCATCTTTTGGTAAGATAATTACCTTACTAAGCAGGTTGGGAGCATGTTAATTAGCTAATTAGTTTAATGCGATCTGTTGCTTTGTTTTGTGATGGTTCAGCAGATAGGGGTGTACTGTTTCGGTTAAGGGGATGGCGTGGTCGAATTGTAGAGCTGACGACTGCTAACCCTTAAGTCTCGAGTTCAAATCCCGAGTTTCGAATCCATAGGACGTCCCTGAGTCCATCCTATTATGATGGGTGCCTGACTCCCGTTCATGAAACCTACTAGACTGGGCATGGTGCTGACCACACTGTCTCTTCATGTGCCGAGAACAGTTTTAAAAGATGAACTCTACTGCAACTGCCCTGTGTGTGTCTGACTCTGACAGTAAATTATGACGATTTAGTCCGTTGGTGGGATGAATGTGTGGGGCGCTAGTTGTTTGTGGATGTGGATGGTTGTGTGGGGCTAGCCTATAATACGAGGTTTAATAAAACACTCATTTTGAAAAATTTCACTGCCGACATGACCATGATATTTTAAAACAGTGTTGGTGTTTCGATTTTTAAGAAAAATGTTTCTTTTCATTTTATCTAAAAAAAACTTTCTAAATGATGCTATAATTACGACAAAATATAAAAGATATTCTTTGTTTACAATGTGTGTGTTTTAATTATTTTATCAAACTGGTTAGTTTACACATCTCAAGGTCAACTGAACGTTATGTACGACATATGAGTGACATATGGCGACTCAATACAATAGAAATAAGCGGGGTCCTATCAATCAAAACAATCTGTTTGTGTGCACTTTGTTTAAAGATTTGATGACTAAACATACTTTTTGCATATTGGGCAAAATTTCAAAAGTCTGTAAAGTAGTTAGTAAAATAATTGCTTGCTGATCAAACTATATATATATATATATATATATATATATATATATATATATATATATATATATATATATATATATATATATATATATATATATATATTTATTTATTTATTTATTTATTTATTTATTTATTTATTTATTTATTTATTTATTTATTTATTTATTTATTTATTTATTTATTTATTTATTTATTTATTTATTTATTTATTTATATATATATTTATATTTATATGTATTTGTGTGTGTATCCATGTGTGTACACACAGAATGGTGACAATTATTAATTTGGTCTGATATCACCCCCCCCCCCCCCCCGCCTAATTTTTAAAGAGAAAAAAAAGTATCATTGAATTTAATTTCTTGTATATATATATATATATATATATATATATATATATATATATATATATATATATATATATATATATATATATCACAAAGCTCATCCTTTATTAATATAGTTTCTTTTCATGGGCCACATTTTATTTAACTCTCAATGTATTTTACTGAAGTCATGTGGAAAACTCACGTTTCGTAGCGACAGATGGTAGCTTGAATTTTTTCAATTGCTGAACAAACATTTGTTTTAAGATTCAGCAGAAATATGTTCTCTAGCAAACCATTCTGTTTACAATTTGATGATTACATTAATGCCCACGCATTAATTATGCATATGCCAGTTTACTATTTGTGACAGGTTCTCATAACTGATTATTTCTACCATTTGATTAAGTTTAAGTATTGTATCCACAGACATCAACGACTTATCCATCGGCGGTTTGATCAAAATGGAAACTTAAAATATGCAATTTCTCAATATGATTTTCTATTTGATATAAAAAATAAACAATGAACAATGGCAGGTTTATTTTTAGGCTGAACAAGCAATACTTTTTGGTCTCACTTGCTAACAATAGTTAAACGTTATGTAGCCTACATGCCAATAATGTTATGGTTAAAAACAAACAAAAAATCAGAAAAAATAAAAGTAGCATAAATTTAAGTTTTAAATTCTGCAATACTATATGACACACCAAACAGCTTTCTATAAAAGTTTTGAACAATTGTTCCCCCCTATAGACACAAAAATGTTCATTGTATCTCAAATTTTGTGAAGCAGTTTTGGGTGGTATACCGCTTGACTGCTAGCCTGAGGTTCGGATCTCGGTACATCCTCGAGACAACAGGACTTCCCTGAGCCCACGCAGCACTAATGAGTACCTGCCTCACGATAGGAAACAGGGGCTGCTGGGCATAGACCACACATCCATTCATATGTAGAGGTCAAGAAACATATGCACTCTACTTCATCTGTGTACCGTTTGGTTCGAAATAAGAATTGTTTTTTTTTATCTCACATAAATTTGGCCCGCTTGAGAATTTGGACCTGACATCGGTTATGTAACCTGTGATTCAAGTTAACTTAATCCTAACTGTTGATTATGCTGGTCCAGTAAAAATCTTTGTCAGTTTACGAAAAATTAGAATTGTAAATTGGAAAAAGAAGTCCACCTAGCACAGATAGGTACTGGCTCACGTTATAGAAACTAAATCTACTGGACAAGAAATGACTACACCATCCCTCCATATGAAGAGGTCAAGAACATTGACTCTACTTCATCTGCGAAACGTTAATTTCGAAATTGGAACTTTCTTATTTTATTATCTCACCACATGGTTCTTAAATTTGACTTTCATATCAATCACGGTATAACTGTCTTTTTTTAGAAAATATATCTGTTTTTAACTGAAAAACAGATTTTTCACATCAAAATACATCATCGTGATGAGGTAAACGTCTTTAAATTAAAAATGCCAAAAGATATCGCGAATAATTTTTTTTTCAAATTTTAACCTGCACATGAAACATTTATTCGCCATTTTAAATCTTCATAATTTACTTGGGAAATCAACTCATACTTTGAAATAAGTGAGGTATTTTGGCAATATTATTTATATACATTTTCAACCATTTTCAATTTTACACACACACAAAACACATTTTTATGCATTATTAATTTTATTTTATAATTGTTTTTTATTTTAAATTTCTAAAAACCATTATGATGCTCAAATTTGGAAAGAGAAACATTTAAAAAAAAATATAAACAATATATGTAAACGGTGAGCACACAATACCAACCGATTTAGTTTTGAAGTCTAAATTATTCTTTTAAAACAATATTCAATAATTATTCTTTGATGTACAACATTTGTTTAAAAGTTAGCAATCCCCACAGAAAGCAATGGTTATCTTCTCCTCGGGTGGAAGGTCACAGTTGGCGGCGTCAAAGAGGCAGTCGTTGCCGTACGTTATCCCGTCACTGCCGCAGATAGGCCTATACATCGGGTAGCAGCCGATGATGGGGCAATCTGGCTCGGTATCAGCGTAGTAACAGTTGATGGGGCAGGGGCCCTCACTCCCAACGGTCACTTCCGGATAGTCGCAGTTGGCGTTTCTCAGCTCACACTCGTTGGCGTAGGTTACGCCGTCAGTGCCGCACACGGGTGCCATGATATCTGGGCAATCAGTTTGGCAGGGCTCAGACTCGGCCAGAGCTGTGCCTAAATATTTTGGTAACAATTACAATTCGTAATATATATATATATATATATATATATATATATATATATATATATATATATATATATATATATATATATATATATATATATATATATATGTATATATATATATATATATATATATATATATATATATATGTATATATATATATATATATATATATATATATATATACTAGCTGCATCCCGTGCTCCGCCACGGTAAATCTTTTTTAAATGTACCAACTTGGGAACAGAACAAAACTAAACACAACACAAACGAACGCAAAAAAACACGAAAAAACAAACGCAACACTCATAACATAAACACAATTTAAATGCAATCATAAAGGCATATTGCTCGCAGTCTAGCCCGTAGCGCCAAATCGCGCCCTTTCCGGTGATTTCCACCCCCCTCAAACTTTCGATTTGCACCCCTTCCCACCCCCCCCACCCCCCCGCCCTAAAACTTTCGATTTCCACCCCCCCCCCCTCGCAAATTTTTTCCAATGCACTTTGGCGCCCCCTAAGGTCGGCACCCGGGGACATATGCCCCCCCCCCCCCTCGCTACGCCTCTCCTATAAAACCCGAAAGATAGAATAATAATTAGAAAACAGTATAAATAATAGGCAGTATTTAAAATATCCGTGTTTTACCTACAATATTTCACTTTATCCATTCACGCATTTTTTTCCAGTACTTTAAATTTTAAAAATTTACAATAGAGTTTCATAACTAAAACCATTGCGCACCTAATGAACGTGATGACGCGTCTATAATAGTGCTGAATAGTTGATTAAAAATTATAAGCAATAAAAAGTAGAGCCTACATTCAGTGAATAAAATAAATAAAAGATTGCCTTTTATCAATCCATGCTATTTATAATTTTCTAACAATAATTTCCTCTTACACATCCGAATAATTTGCATTCACATTTTGCTAATTATATTATTGCAACACTAATTCCTTCTATGACGAACGTATATTTGCATTTACATTTTTTATTAGCGTGAGTTTAATGTATTTTTAAATTACCTCCTTTGTCAAAATTAGAAAAGAGTTAAATTAATTTGATTTTTCTACCGTACTGTTATTATCTTATTAAAATGTATCCACTTTTTCTGGGAACCTAAACGAAAATGATATTTGACATTAATCTTTTTAATACGTTTCAGCAGTTTGAGTGTATTTAATATTTTCTTGACGTTATGCGAAAGAGTAAAAACCGTGGCAATTATAAA